ATTATTGGGTCCACTTGCGTACGAAACATCAGTTAACACTCAACACTCATATCGATCGTACACTTGAATCCTACGTTAAACTGTGAGTTCATACCCCTACACTTTTCCGATTTTTTCATGTTTTCAGAGGGAGGGGGGATACAAGTTAAACATAAAGGTTTTCATAGCTTAAAAACTGATTCAATTACAACGGTTTTCTATCAAACATTTAGATACAATTATCCCTTTTGTAATATGCGGAGCATAAGGGATGTTTTCTAATCATAACTGCATATTTTTCAAAACCATACATGAACGTAGCAACCATTCAAACTATAATGCGTATAGTTTGGGATTCATTACCAGTCTTACAGATTCAAAACTTCATGCAATGTCAAACATATAAACTATGTCAGATTTAGTTTATCCATTACTATGAATACACAACTAGAGTATCTTGCTAAATAATTATTTTGTGTATAATTATTTATACTTTACACCGTTACAAACGATTTCGAACTCGAGAACAACCAAACCACACGTAAACTAGTTATTACAGGATTGTGAGACTTATCTTCGTTATGCCCCTCGGGGTACCAATAAATCCTCACCGGTAGTATAACCAGAGTCTCCTGGAGGGAGAGCGTGAAATTTGTGAATAGATCTATTCGGGACCGACAATCCCACACCTGAACAGTTAGCTACAGTTAGGTGGGCATGCCTGGGGTGACAAATTTTGTAATCGTACGATGCCTGATGAAACGTCAAGGAGGTCACCTGTCATATTACTATGGTTATACGACTCACAATATGGATAAAACTAACCTTTGTTTATGGGAAATCTTTCTTTTATAGTTTTATTTTAAGTAATAAAACTACCTATCTACTTACAAGAGGGTATTCCAGGGACACAACTTTGGTTTTATTTTAAGTAATAAAACTACCTATCTACTTAATGGAACAATACTTTTCATACAGAAATCAACAAACATGTTAGAAAATATTGGATTTTCTTGGAAAACATGCATACATATTTCAGAACTTGTTAACAATGGTTTTCGACACAAACAACATTTTACTTATATTGGAAAGAAACCATTTATACAAATTCAGTGACTAGTTTTCAATACACAAGAACATGTTTATGAACTCACAGGCTTTATGTTGATACGTTTTCAAAACCACTTGTATTCTCATGGCAACGATAGATAGGTACTATGCCAGCTTTTGGAGAAGATGGAGCATTTTTTTAGTCTCGTCTTTATCTTTTGCTATATACTATTATGTACAAATTATGTCCTCAAAACACATGTAAATATTCATATTGTAATGTAATGGTTATGTTTACTTTGATTGCTATGATACGATTGTTGTGATACTACGTATGACGTCACCCGCCCCCGGACGTTCCCGCCGTTGTTTTTCTTACGGTTCGGGGGTGTGACATGTTGATATAATCAAGAAGTTACTTTGTATGTATATGAGCAAACAATGAGTTCACAAACCAAGCCTATGGCTGATGCCCTATCAAGATCTATGCTTATCGTTCCATAGATGAATATGGTATCATGCACTCAAGCAATCGGACGAGTGAGGAGTTGTCAATTCCTACTAGCGCTATCCATAATGACCATTCGCTCAAAGAGTTAATGGTTGGAGCAAAGTGTAAGGAAAGGGACTTATGATGATAAGGCCTCGTGTTTCAAGTTCCATAGACATACATATCAAAATACAGCAATCATGTTTGATACAAATCAATTTAAATGCAACGAACAATAAACAATTTTTCGGACATGTTTTTCCACCCTAAAACATAAAAACTGAAAATAGGGGGAGTTGTGAATACTCAGAATGCATTGAGATGATGCAAATGATTCCTTGAACTACGTTCCACTTGTACCACTATCGATTACAACAACGATATTACACACTGATGAGTTTCTAACCGAAATCTAATACTATTATACTTACTATTGCAATAGAATTACGCCAATATTGTGTTAAAATTTTGATATTGATAAGTTACCAACATTTATAGTGAAATTTAGATTTCTATGAATCAATTTATTGTATAACAAATTCAAGTGGAAATTCCCATTATTGAAATGTTAAAATTTAACATTTTAGGTGGTGTTTCAATGATTAAATATTCAAAAGCTAAATCAGTTTAGTTCCAAAATTTTCCAAACTTTGTATTTTAATTCTAACTGAACTCAAAGAACCCAATATAATTTTCTTGAATTTTCGATTTGTCCAGCTATTTTTCACCATTTTAATTTCCTGAATAATCATAAAATCATGAAAAATACTAAACTATTAATAAAAATTACTAAACTTTGGATTTTGGTTTTAACAATGTTAAAGGGTTTCCAGATAAGTTTTCATGGGTTTTAGATATGCATAACCATTTTCCCAATATTTAATTCTCTAGATAGATATAAATCCATGAAAAACATCAATCAGTGAAGAAAATTCCCCAAACTTTATGCACCACTGATATGAAACATATATAATCTGATAAAAATAATAAAATATATTTTCAAACAGTTTAACTTGATTTTTCTAATTTTTGTATATTTATTCTATCAAAATAGAGATAAATAGAGAAAAGTTTCAAAATTTTCCCAAACTTTTTGTTCTACTGTTATTACACATATGAAATTTGGGAAAATATAAAAGTTGGTTTCCAAATAGTTTAACTATTTTTCTTTGTTTTATTCATTTAAATAAACATTAATTCAAGAAAAATTATTAAATATTAGGTAAAATTCACTAAACTTTTTATTTATGATTTATATCTAATAGAAGATATTCTTATGAAGTTTCATAATTTTTGGATAGGTGTAGCTATTTTTCATTAATTTAATCCCTTAAATCCCTTAAATATTCATTAAATCGGGAAAAATAAGAAATTGTCTTGAAAAAATTTGGAAATTTTTTCATAGATTCGATATAATGTCTATAATATGCGAAAATTAGGAAATATGGCGTTGGACATTCATAACGGTGTTTTGATATTTATTTTTCTTCAAGAAAAATAAATTAGAAATCAATAGAAAACAGACTTAGAAATGCATACACCTTCATGAAAGCCTTTACTCAGTGCATATGTGATATTCTAAATTTACCAGAATTTATTAACCATCAAAAGTATTTTATATGAATTATTTCTCTTTTTTTTTTCAAAAATTACAATAAATTGAGAAAAATGAGTTATTTACTGAAAATTTCCAGATCATCTTGTTTTGTTGTTTGAATTCTGGGAAAAATCGTACTTGAGAAGAAAAAGAAGTTTTAGATATTTATTTATGAATAAATCCTTGATGAGCATTCTTAACAATGTACTTTGATAATCAAGCCTTTAAGCTTGATGTTCATCACATGCATTATGATTTGAAGACCATGAATGAACTTATTTTGTTCAAAATGATGTTTGTAAATGAAAAACTTGAATGCATGTGGTTTGAGATCTTTAAAACTTATAAAATTTAAGTTGGTGGATTTGATTTAGGTTTTGATCATTGTATTTCACCTTCTAATAACATCCATGTTGTTTTGGGGTGAAATCCTACCCCTATTATCATAAAATTTGACTTGCATGAACATACATGTGAATAATCTCAAAGAACAGTATTTGTGGAGAAGAAAAATGCAAGAAAACTTGATATTTTTGAAAGAAAAGTGAACAAAATGTAAGGAAATTGATTTTACCTTGAAGATCAACTTCAAATGATGAATATTCTTGAGTAAAATGAGGAATTTTTACTGAAAATTTCACGGGTTTTGGAACTAATTCATAGAGTGTCACACCCCCAAACTATAACGGTGGAAACGTCTGGGGGCGGATGACTTTGATGTACGGTATCATAAGAATTGAATAGTAGCGATCAAAGCATTACAACCATGGTATTGGATATTTAATAAGTTTATATTGTACTCAAAACATTGTTTACATGATATCAATGCATATGATAAAAATAAATAACGTGATGCGATGACGTCTCATCCTCCAAAAACTCTTTGGTTACCTGTTTACCAATTCACTGAGAATACAAGTGATTTTGAAAAGTTTCAATGAATTTCAAAGGATCTTAGGGTTATTTGTTTATCGAGTGTACCAAACTAATTTGCATGATTATTCACACATTATACCTGACACTTGTTTGTAAGACCCAGGGTTTTGGCCCCCGACCTGGCAAGGAAGACCACGAGGCGGATCGTGGCATAATGACAAGACTATAGTTAGTACATAACACGATTGATTTTTTGGAAGTATACTATATAACTCTTTCGTTTTAATATCTTATTTATGCAAACAATATTTTTGACATTTGAAACAACTAAATAACTTGTATGGACTATACTTATTTATGTTAAATGTATATTTAAAAAAAAAAGTAAAAAGAAAAATTGAAATAAAAAAAAAATTATAAAAAATGATATTTAAAAAAATAGTAAAAAAACTGAAATAAAATAAAAAGTAAAAAAAAACTGAAAATTTGAAGAAAAAAAAATCGGTAAATATTTTTCAGTAAATGTTTTTTTCAACAAACTTATTTTAGTCACAAAAAAAAAAAAAAAAAAAAAAAAAAAAAAAAAACTCCTAAACAGGGCCTAAAACAGTAAAACGTGAAAAACAATAATTTTTGAATTCATAAATTCGTAATTAGTATACGCGATTTACAGAAAAAATATTGAAAGATTTAAAGAAAAAATGGAATAAATGTGATAATCGAAGCTTTGAAGTTTCGTGGTGAAACAATATTTCTGCAATTGCCTTGCAGCTTCGTCTCAAGGCATCAAATCCGTGGAGAAACCGCTTGAAACTAAACCCGCAATTAGGTTTCGTTTCGTCTCAGTATCAAACTGAATTCAAAAATTTCTGCATCAACGCGTATAATGAGTATCTATATAACGCTTTCTACAATTCTATCAACACCATCAATTCTTCATATTAATTATTTTACTTCAGTTTCTTCCAACTCCTAATCCAGAACATCACTCAACAGGTCTTTGAAATCATGAACAAATCTAGTGAATACAGATGTGTATTCAATCACATCGATATAGATGGAAATGGTATGATCTCCCCATCAGAGCTGCAACGCTGCATCGGATTGATCTGGAACCAAGGAATTTTACTCGAAGAGGTTGAAGTTGTTGAATCGTGAAATGGAAACAACGGAAATTTAGGGTTTGAAGATTTTGTTGGATTAATGGAAAGCGCAAAGGAAGAAGAGAAGCTTGAGGACTTGAGGAAAGCTTTCAGAATGTATGAAATGGATGGGACTGATTGCATCACTCCGAAAAGCTTAAACAGGATGCTGAATCGACTCGGTGAGTCGAGAAGTGTGGATGAATGTGTTGGGATGATTAATCGATTTGATCTCAATGGTGATGGAGTTCTTAATTTTGATGAATTCAAACAAATGATGCTTTGAGATTTCGAATCGTTTCATCTAATTTCACATTCTTGTATTATGGAATCCATCCATTTGGAAGATGTAAAGAAATAAAATAGATAATACACCTGGTGTTGATGCCATAAAATAAATCCAGTTTGAATGCATCTCAACATATTTTAAATCAATTTTTTCATAAGAATGGACACCTGGTGGACTGGTTTGTAGAGTAGCGTACGTTTAAGTTGTCTTCTCAACCTTATATGCTTAACAAGATGGTTTAGCAAAGGTTTCAATATGAAGATCTCATTTGCATCAAATTGGTTGAAAAGGGAAGCTAACCATTGTCTTTTGGGTCAAAAAGAAAGATACATAGTGCCCAAAAGTTACATGAATACTTGATTACAAAAAGAAATATTGGTTCTTTTTAGCTGCAATTTTATGATACGGCCATATTTTTTTCAATTGCTACAACAACTAAATGTCAATGTGGTCGTATTTTGTGTAGCCTATGTCGATTGTTATACTTGTGTATATGGATCTTAACAAACTCATGTGCCATGTTTGTGTGTTTCTTCCGAAAAAGATAGATCATGTTTAGTGGTTTTGTCATTGTTTGGTCAAAGTTTTTAATTGGGTTGATGTTACTACTCCTATAAACAAGTTGTGATGTTTAGGGTTGGTTTGATGACCTAATTGGCTCTCAGATCATCTCCAACCCATCTTCAGTTTTTCCTCTAAAAATGAAGTAAAAAATGAGGTAAATGGTGTTTTATCTCCAACCCTATTCCATTTTTCTCTCATTTTTAACCCCAAAAAATATATTCAAAGTATATTCTATTATTCCAACTTACATATATTTGCAAACACACTACTCTACTAATTTAGTTTTAACAAATATATAATCTATATTTTTTTCATTACATTAATATTAAATAAACAATATTATATCTATAATACACTTATAAATAAATATTATACACGAATTTATAAAAGTATTACACATATACACTTTTAAATAAATATTATACATACATTTATATAAATATTAGACATACACATTTTGTAAAATACGTTATTATTTTTTTAAATTTCAATATGTATTTAATTTTTTATATGAATTTAATGAAAAAAACAAATTTTATATTTATAATTAATTAATATAATTTAATATATAACAAAATATTATAGTTATTAAATATTATATTTAAATTATAATTAGTATGTAAAAACGAACTAGAAATGTATAAATATATAAACAGAGGGACTAAAACCGACAACGCAAAATTCATCCCCATTTTGGTAGAAATGAATAGTATACCACCATATTTGGTGTAATACTATTCATATCTTCAAAAATAGGGGAATAAATAAGGAAGAGTTGGAGAAGAATAAGAAAGAAAATGAAGGAAAAAATGGAGAACAGTGGGATCAAAATGCCTTAAGGCTATTTTAGGAGTGGTACTTTGGTTGATATAGAGGTTTAAAAACAAGATGATGTTTGGTGATAAACTTCAATTCTCGAGTATAATAGATTAGTATTATTATTATTTGTTAACAGAAACAAGATAATGTTTAAGGTTTCTTTTGGAGCGATTGGATGGAAAACCCCTTAATGGCATTATCTTTGTAACTGTTTTTATTTTTTTTATTTTATTTTTT